TATTACTGAACTATTTCTGGGCCCATAACCTGTTAGATTATGAACTTTATTCTAAGATTAGTATTGATTTCACAATAATCTTTTTCTACTAAGAACAACAAAAATATATATACAGGATGTATGTAAAATCGTTCGTTTGTCACGTGTCCAATGATCTATATCTAATGAACTAAATTAACATTCACTTTAACAAATGAAATACTTTATGTTATATTATATCATGTTAACAGTATTAAAACATGAAGTATATAAAATAAAGAAGCAAAGTACTTGATTTTTGTGATCGAGCAACTATGAAGGTTTTATTGTTATTCATTCGTTCCTTTGTTGCAAATCTAAATGTCATCATGGCATGTACAAAGTAAGCAAAAAGGCTGTATGCATGAAAAAATATACGAGTCAAATATCTAAACATGAAGCTAGTATATTTATGAAATGCACAATGATTTCACAGAACAAGTGGGCTTTGTCGCGTAATTTAACTACTTCAATGGTAAAAAAACAGTTTTCCTTACAAAAGACCCATTTTTAGCGTAAGAATAATTGTCTTTCACTACAAACTGACAGAGTTTTTTAATTACGATGATGAGTTCCGTTCAAAACTGGACTATATGATTGTTCCGCAGAAAAAGTCGCTGGTTTTGAAGGAAGTTAAAAGCAATGCGTGCACATATTATATAATCTCTGATACTAAACATTACCTCCAACATGGCAGTTGTCGACGTAGTGATTTCATAGGGCGGCGGAAACGCGGGTGAGTAGGGTTAAACTCCTCCCGACTTTTTGTAAACGTAAAATTGGCGGACTGAGCACCGGGCGAAACTAGAACGTTAGTTGGAGGGTATATATTCATATATTCACCTCTTCCCAGCTGATTTCTTTCGTTTGTGATGTTAATTCCAAAAGAAACCAGCAGGGCAGCGATGAATGTATGAATATTTACCCCCCCCCCTACTAGCGTTCTAGTTTCGCCCCTGACTAAGCTCCCCCCCTTAAAAAAACCCTAACAAATTAATTGCCCATTTTTGTGATACTTCGACAATGCTCTTTTATAATTGACTATGCTAACCAAGGAAAAAGATCTTTAGGCATTTTTAAAGAAGATTTTCTATTGAACAATCATCAAAGTTTTGTACGGAGTACGTCACTGTTTTTAGCTGTGAAAGATTTACTTTTTTAAAATATTTCCATAGTTTCGGCGATTTAAATTTTGAAAACGGGTCTAAATTTTACTTCTGACTCTGTGACAAAAAAAGGCAGACGCTGATTAAAACGTGTTTAAATCACATATAAGTCGCGGAAGTTTGTTTAAGTTAAGGGAGGCGTGAATCATGGGGGAATGGGCTCTTATACACAAAAAGTATCGAGGATGGGGAGACCGTTATTATCTAAAGTTTTGAAATGTTAAATAAAGGTATTGGAGATAACAACTGTATAATATTGCAATGCTCCAGGCACCCAAAAACTTGAATAGCCTCTTAGAAAGAGCAATAAAACTGTTGTTCAGTTCAATGATTTGTAGTAATGTCAGCATTTAGCATTGACACTAATCGTCACGCACACCAGCTATCCGACATCAAATTTAAAAAAAATAAATCATTTTTTGTGAATTGATTGCTTTTGAATGTCCATTAGAGACCAAATATGCAAATGTGACATGAGATAAATTTCCATATGTAAACGCCTCAACGCTCGCCCGCAATTGGTTTTCTGTCGGTTGTTTTTTGAAAACTCAACTTTAGAATTTTGAGTTTTGAATCAGCAATGAGCATAAGATTTTGAAAGTTTTACACGTATAACGGCTACTGCCTGTGATAAATCACCATAAAGCATCTGGACAGCTAATGATGTTAAAAATTTATTGTGATCAAGGGAGGGAACTGCATGGATTTGGATACCGTAGTGAACAAGTTCAACGTTAGATTTTGCAAGTGTAGAGTTGCTCCCTAAATTATTGTTGGACATAATTATAAAATATTTCATAGTACACCACTGATTCATTGTATACATGCAGTCAAAAAGGACTGCTCATCAGCAAAAAAGTTTAACAGGGTAACATTAAGATAAAGTGCCAAAACATAAGATTTAAGTTAAACAAGAAAAAAATAAAATTGGAACCTCATCTTACTTAGATTAAAGCTTTTAATTGATTAAAAAAGATGTTCAATATGATAAAGTGTTTATATTACGAATTTTAGCCCCTCTCCCTTTTTAGTAGCTGAATTAAAAGACTAGCTTTTGGGGATTCCATTTCTGCAATTACAATTAAAATCTGATTTCCAGAAGTGATTTTATTAACGTTCAAAGTTGCGATTTTCAGCCATATTTTTGCGAACTTTTTGATGGTATGTTAATGGGTGTGACCAGAGGGTGTAACGCAGCCTCATACCCAGGCGCTTCACATGGCATGCCTGGGCATCACGCATTTGCGTGCCTGTAACAAGCCGATTACGTGTGGAAGCGATTTCCCATTTTTTGCTCACGCATGTCGTCCCGCGCAACTACAGTATTAAATATTTCAAAGCAAAATATCAAAGCGCCTAGGTACAAGGCTGGGTGTGACGTAAATAGTTGAGCACATCAAATCATCATGGCGTATTTCACTAGTAATCGATACAAAAAATGCGATGGAAAAAGTTGTGTTACTGGCCGACCTAATCAAGTTACTTGCGCCAATTACTCAATAAATGAAGAAATATCAATTCATTTGTTTCCTAACAAAGAAAATAAGTGGCAAGGACAGGAGAAAGGAATAAATTCAGCAGGTAAGTATTAAATAACCTTGACAAACTTTGAGGCTTTCATTACCTCGATCGCTTGTTCTGCACTTTTTGAGGATTTTTGTTTCGACTTTAATTAGAAAGTGCAAGTCAAATAGCAAAGAATGTTGACGAGAAATGCATCGGATCATTGTTTTTGCTGGTACACCTGAGCCGTTAGAGAAGCAGACAACCGATCGAAAGCAATGACAATAAAGTCCAAATTTACGCTTATGATTAACTATCCAGTAAAATAATATACTGCTGAGAATTTATCTTTTATAATATAAATTAGATATACAGCTAGTACAAACTATTTGAAACACTCTGCATCAACCAATAAAGAAAGAAACGTATTTTAATGACGATGAATTATCGTCTACCAGTGGCGCAGAAACTACATAAAGTATGCAGCTATATTTAACAAGTAAAAGATGTTTATTGTGTTCGCACAGGCTTATGCAAACCGAGGAGACCTTTGGGAGAACTCGAAAGCAGATATGTGCAAGCCCGAGACCGAAGGTCGAGAGTTGCACATGCTCGAAAAGTAGATATAATCAAAAATGAGCTGCAGTGATTTATTTTGACTTACCCTATACCTGCCAAAGCATTGATTCAGATCTGGACCTATGTATGTGTAGTAACGTGTTTTCCTGACCAAGAATATGCAACCGAAATGTCGAGTATTGACTTTATTGCTGGTAAATTATAAGCAATGAAAACAAATATCTTGGTGCTGCTGTTGAAAACTACCAGAAGATACGTTCAAATACGTAAAAACGCTTAGCAGTGGGTCAAGATTAGTTTCAAAGCACGATAAAAGCACGAACCAGTCAACCGCAAATTTAGCTCAAATCAATAAAATTGAGTTTGGTTTGCAGTAATTATTCACGAAAACGCCAAAAGCTTCATTGTGGAGTCCGATATATTTAAAATTTCCATTAAAAAAGGCGGAATTGCTTCATTCTTTTGCTCATTTAGCCGATTTCACACAGTTTCATTATAAGTTTATATTGCAAGTAGAAACGAAAATGGCGGCTCTGCGCTCGCCCCAGACTGTTATGCCAACTCTTTCAAATAGAGGGCTCTGAGTAGGGCTACTTCGCCATTCAACCGGCTGCTGTATATTTAATTAGTTTACAAGCTGCCGTTTGCCATATCGTCAATCCTATTGGTCACACAATGCAATTGACTGGCTGCCAATATGGTAATCCTATGCATAATAAGATATGCGTGGGACGAAAAATTCAATGGAGTGGCTCTAATGTATGTTCTCTATACTGTGGCATTACCGTGAGAGATACTACCGAAAACTAAAAAGAATTTCCACATGTCATGTATACACGTCATGCAAACGCCAAATATTTCGTAGTACTTTATCTCAAAATGTTTAATTTTTGTAATCAGACTTGATGTGTAGACTGCGGCACATTATTTCTGTTGGGAAAGACGTCTTTCGTACAAAGCATATACATGTTTATTTGAATGCCTGCTTTATCATGATGATCCTTCATTTGATTTTACTCAATGCACGTGAATGCTATACTCAAACATTCTCGATTTAATGCAGCATTAATAAATATTATTGATTGTCGACTAGTGCTCTATATTGCTATAGCGCTACTGATCAGTCAAAGCGTGTAATTAAATGTCCAATGTGCTCTAATGATGAGCAAATGTTGTGTATACATGCTTATTTGATTGTCTGCTTTATATAAATGATCTTTCTTTCGTTTGATTGAATGCACGTTAAAGCAAGTTGAATATTCCTGATTTTTATGCTATGCGGCATAAATAAATGTTATTGATAGTCGACTTGTGCTCTTGATTGTTCATTCGTGTTAAAGAATATTCTACAGCGCTATTAATAAGTCAATGCGTGTAATTGAATATCCAATGTGCTCTAATGATGAGCAAATGATGCAAAATGCATTAGCTAAATATCACAAGTAAATTTGTCTTTATACGTTGTATACAACGAAATTAATAGACCATAAACTCAATGTGGACATAGCTTTGTCCCACGTTTATCGTATCCGCCGGGAAAGAGTTGACATTGATTTCTATTGTCTCGGAACTTGGAATAATCCCATAATGAATTTAATATGGCATTATAGAATGCTCAATGCGTATCCGCGTACCTGGTATTACACAATTTTGCCAAACCGAAGAACTTTGATACAATAGTAGAGTGGCTAACAATATCGTTTCAAAATTAATGTGTTATACAATTTTACTCACCACATATGACCTAAACGTCTAATTCTTCATTTCAACACGTTGCATAACGTAGTCATCAATATGATTCAGAAAATTATTTTCAATGGAAGATGCCAAAAAGTATTCGTGTCGATCATGAATGCACGACAAATTGCTTTTCTGAAATCCGAGACTGAAAATTAGCAGATAGAGTGGGTACAAAAGTGGGTACAAAGCACCGGTCGGCTTAACAGTTCTTCAATTCAAAATGTCTTTACGCAACAATGGAAACATTTTGCTTTTGCAAAAGAATGCACGAAAATTTGAGAAAGCTTGTAGATTGATTGCATAAAATTTATTGTAAATTATGGGTGGACCTCACATGGTCTTCATATAAGGCTGAATATTCTTTTCTGTGTTGATTTTTGTAAGTGAAGAAACTATGGCTTTGTAGTATTACCGTAATTGAAATATTACGGTAAATTATAGTCTTGTTTTTTAAAAGATCACAACTTTTTCTGAGCATGTTTTTTCTTTTATGTACATATGAAATTATTTATATTGCTGCCAGTGAGGTGCCAGGCGGGAAACGGATTCTCAATATAAATATTACAGCCCAACATATAATTTTGAACATAGCCCTAAGCAATTTGGTTTTGTGAAATTTATTAAAATAGTGACGTTTCGTCTTGACTCAAGAAATCTTCAGACTAATAAGGAAGTTAACAACGAATTGTTGGAAAAAATATAGTTATTTATATAGTTAGAGGTATCAGATTACTGTGGATGTGTAAGTGTGATGTGATGTATAGTTAGGTTGAGGTGTTGAGACTAGAAAAGCTTAAGAGGGATGGAGCTGCCTTGGGTGTTAAGTGAAGGTTTTAGTTTGGAGATGAAGAGGTTTTCGTGGATCATGTCCCAAAAATATTTGAGGTTGGCGCAGAAAAAAATTGGTTATAAGTACTGAAAAAGTTATAGAATTCTTATAAGTAGGGTTATAAGGAAGGAAAAGAAACTAAATACACAAGCTTCAGTTTTATAAATGCACAATGTCAGACAGCCATCTTGAACTACTCGGCAATCTTGACATCAGTCTGGAAAGTCAGAACTTAGTAAGATGAAGTCATCTTTACAGTTATTCTTCGTCATTCCTTCATCTATAGTATTTAACAGCAGTGATATATCATTGCGGTAGCCAGGATTTTCTGTCAAGCGGGAGGAGATAAAAGGGAAGGGGAGCCACAATCGTCGTTGTAATTAATGTAAATAAAACAATACAATTTAGTAGATGCAAGAATTTTTCCAAGGGGCCTGGCTCTCTGTCTAGCTATGTCACCATTGATTGATACAAATGATTTCCTTTGTATTGGATAAGTGATAATTCCCATGAGACGTTTTTTTGAAGAAAATTATTTATTGGCCTGGTGGTCCCAGAAATTGGAATATTTTATGCCCATCAGCTTGAATAAAGCAGTATAATTTATGCAATTTTTCAAGCAGATGTGACAGTATGGCATATGAAGGAGCAAGCACCTTTAATACTGCAATTTGCATAGAGCTGTACAACAGGTATGGGCATATGACAGTAGTTTCAGACTTCACTATTTATTTTAGACTAGATGCAGACTGACCTGTTCTTGACTCACTGCAAACCCTCAGAAAAAAGGTGCTGTTTGTAGCAAGTAGCCATTTCTTTGTATAACAAAATGACTTGTTAATTTCGAATAGACATCAAATATATGAGGTCCATTGAAAATATTTACCTAACCTTTTATCGTTAAGTGCTCACATCAACATTCAAAGCTCTTCATCTAACCCTACATCCCCAACATCATTACTACATCCACTCTAAGTCAATGTCCTGATGCTCCATCCAAAACACAGGACTACATTTCCAAGCCACTTTTTTAAAAACCTCCATCACAAAGGTCTTTACAGCCTTGTGTGTTGTTTATATTTAAAAAAAAATAGGTTTTTCATATTTTTTCCTGTTTTTCTCAAATACCAAATCAGCCTAGTGACTACATTCCAGATCTTCTCTTCAATCTCCATTCAAAAGATCCACCTCCCTCCCCTCCCCTCCTCTAGCCCTCTGTGACCGTAAATAATCATCTAAGCTTTGATCCTAAACTCTTCACAAGATCCTACCACAACTACGAAATACGTTATATGTTAGCGGAAAAGGAACGTAACGAAAGAGACCACTACCTAATCCCAACTCCAATCAAACTATTGGCTAATGGCATTTTCTTTGATTGTGGGCTCACTACACCAACTTTGCCCAGACTCACGCAGTGGCATTCTAAATAAAAATTCAAAAAGATACCCACAGCGTCATATTTACTGTTCACTTTGATTGGGGGTGTGTTTCACCTTGATTTCATTCTTTGCCATAATATCATAAAGTGCTTCAAGATATTCAGATTGATGATCTTTACTATTATTTATACCACAGTTCATGTTGGGTTATCTTTCGCTTAATCTGAGAAAGAATTTCACGTGATTACGATATGTTACTTTTCCTTCAAGATTGTAGTATTTTTTGTAATGTCTTTTAATTTCAATCTAAGTAACATCAACACCTTTAAGTACTATCTACTTTCCTTTATCATTTTCTTACTTGCTTTCATCCCTTAATATAGCTCCTGTCAACATATCCGATTCTTATTAAATATAATTACATATTAAACTATTAAGTCATTAGTATTGAAGTATCTGTTTACTACCTTTTTAATGCAAGAAAATTGACAAGATTCAACGTATGAAAAATGTAATTGTAGCAGATGATCTCACCATTTGAATCATTCTTTACGTACATATATACATAATACGGGATGTTCCCAAAAAGTTACAAAAAAAGGATGTATCCAAAAGACCTTTATAAAAGTCAACCTATTGTGAAATTTCAATATCTGATCACCATGTTTCACTGATGCATTTTTCTAAACTAATTTTTATGAGACTAATGATGTGCAAGAATTAAGTTGTGTGATTTATATTTGGAATTCTGCAAACCATTCAAATCGGAAAATCAACTTTTAAATTATGCCTATTTATAAACCATTGAAGGTAAAAATCGTTTCGTTAATCAATCGGCATTTTTGGACGCACAACATGCTGTATTTTACTTAAATATTGTTTATTAAACTTACACTTTGTAATTTCTTGCTGAAGTGAGAAAAATTCACGTTACGTAAGATATATCTTTATATATTTGAATTTATCTGTAAATGATTAAGTACAAAATGCGATCGTGTTTTGTAATTAGTACATATTACTTTAACTCTTTTTTTCATGCAATAAAATATAGAAGTAAATTATTTTGATGGAACCGAAAGTTCGTCATCTCTTAAGTAAGGATGATTATACAACACAATGAAAGAGGCAGCCAAAACGGGTTGTGTTACATTGAAGGTGTATGTATGAGATATAGTGTGAAAGATCAAAACAAACTCTTCTAAAATTTCCCCCCGTTCTTAGCAGATAAATTGTATTGTTATACAGGGGCTATGTATGTTAAATGTAATTAGTTCATTCGTAGTCACATGACTTAAAATAAAGCAAGATTTCCTGCCAGTAAAACAAGTGAAAAGGTGTTGCTCGCTCATTTTAATATCATAACGAATAAAACAGCCACCAAGCCTAAAACTAAAAGACGTTTCTCGAGCTTATTAAGCAGGGAAAATCAACTATTAATAGTAAAAAAGGATTCAGAAAACACTCAGAAGTCGATTTAAAATTCTGTGATCACCAGTAGTATACAAAGCGTTGCTGCTGGCGCACCTTACACCTTGAGACCTAGTATACGCAAATTTAAGCCCCTCAGCCCTAGTTCGCGTAGGTACTTCTTGTAATTATGCTAGCATAATTATTTATTTAGTCGGGGTCTATTATTTATCTAGACAGAAATTCTCCTATATAGTATATTCAAACAGTCAAAAGCCATGAGGCAAAGCAAGAACAAGTGTGCGTGGTTATTATCCGGAAAGCCCACCACATGTGGACGTAGCTGCATTGGGGAATACTGCGGATTTCATATGAGGTGGTTAAGGGAAGGCAAGCGACTTCCAGAGCCATGTCGTAAGTGTGGGGTCGGAACACAGGCAGAAACTATCCTTGGCAAATCCTGCGGTGCGAATAGGGTGCTGCATATATTTGTTTGTAAACAGAAACAATCAAGAAAAAGGTTTGCTAGCGTACTCGCCGAATTAATTTCGACATTTAGAATTAATTTTGATTTAGAAAATATCTCCCCTAATGTATAGCACTAAATTTTGCGACACTCGAAATGGATACTGTTAATAAACATCTGCAACTATATGACCAAGGTGTAATTAGCGTACACGCGCTGAACGCCTCTCTTAAGGCTCTTCAACCGCCCGAGCCTTTGCACATGACGTCTCCTCCTCGCCGACGTCTTCGAGAACTTCCGAAAGCTGTGCCTCGAGTGATACCGTCTAGACCCATCCAACTATTACACGAGCCCGGGCCTAAGCTGGGACGCTCTCCTCAAGCAAACAGGGGTGGAGCTCGAGCTGCTCATCGACATCGACATGCATCTCTTCATCGAAAAGGGCCTGCGCGGCGACATCAGCATGGTCAGCAGGCGCTTCGCCAGGGCCAACAATCCCAAGGTGCCAGACTACGATCCGGGGAAGCCCCAAAGCTGGGTCCAGTACTACGACGCCAACAACCTGTACGGCTGGGCGATGTCGCAGCCGCTGCTGACAGGCGCGTTCGAATGGGTCGCCCTAGAGGATGCAAAGGCGGCCCTGAACCAGCCTGTAGATGCAGAAAATGGCTGCATTCTCGAAGTCGGTCTGAAGTACCCAGATAAGCTGCACGACAAGCACAATGCATATCCGTTAGCGCCAGAACGCCTGAAGGTTGACAACGCGTGGATTTCGGATTACCAGCGAAATCTCCTCAAACAGATGTATGGGGGTGTGTCTCACGAGGTCGAAAAGCTGGTCCCCAATCTGCGCGACAAGACCCGATACGTCCTGCACTATCGGAGTCTGCAGCTCTATCTGCAGCTTGGCATGCGCCTGAAAAAGATCCACAGGGCACTCCGCTTCGATCAAAGTCCATGGATGGAGCCCGACATACGGAAAAACACCGAACTCCTTAAGAAGGCAAAGAGTGACTTTGAAATCAACCTTTACAAGCTGCTGAACAACAGCGTCT